TCAAATTTATTATTTTCTTCTCTAGTTATACTTTATTAAAAGAATTCTTATTAAACTAAATTCATAGTGTCTTATATGTTGACTTTTAAACAGCCTGGAATTGACTTTGTGTGTTGTTGAGATACTAGTCCAATTACATTCTCCTCCTGAAAATGACCATTGTGTCAATATCCTCAATTAAGTAGTTCATTCTTTCCCTACATTTGTAGAGTGCTAATACTAGTATAAATTATATCTATACATGTGCAGGTTTGCTTGTGTGCTCTCTAATGTGTTCCTTTGGTCAGTTTGTCTTATTGTCACATAAACTATTTTAATTACCTTAGTTTTATCTGAGTCTTGGTTAAAATAGTGTAAATCATACTTCTTTTTCTATATTGTTTCACTTTGCCAAAAGTCTTGGTGTTTTAGTCATCTTTATACTTTTAGAACTGACATGTCAAGTTCCATGAAAAGACTTGGGATTTTTTTTTTTTTGTAATTGCATTAATTGCACATGTATTTGAGGTAAAATTGACATTTTTATTATATTGAGTCTTCCTAGCCCAGTACTTTTTTGTTGTGCCTTTTGATTGTGTAGTTTGGGCCATTGACATTTAGTGCAGTTATTGGTATATAAATGTTGCCAATTTGCTATTTTCTTTTCTAGATTTTTTTGCAGTTTGTTCTTTTGTTCTTCTCATTCTTTTCCCTTGTATTTTAAAGAGATCTTCTGTATAGTGTTTGGATTTTTTTCTTTTTCTTCTTTTTTAAAGATTTCTTTATTCATTCACATAAGAGCTAGGGTACAGACCAGAGATGTGGAGGGTGAGAGGATTCACCAGAGTCAGAGTGGGGAACAGAACAGGCAGACTGACTGAAACACACTGCTGAGGGGAGCAGCAGGCGAGACAGGAGAGGTCTGCTGTGCCATATGGGTAGCTCCCTGGCCGGCTGGGGATCAAACTCGTGCTGCAGAGGTTGTGGACAGCTTCATATGTTGTGTCTTAACCCCTTGTGCCACCAGGGAGACCCTGGATTTTTTTTTTAATCTTTGTTTTTTTCTAGGTATTTTGTTCTGAGATTACCAAGTGACATATATAAAGTTTTATTTTTTTTAAAAGCTTATTTATTTATGCATATAAGACCTGGAGTATAGCCAGAGGTGTAGGGGGGTGAGAGGATTCACCAGAGACAGGGTGGAGCAGAAACTTGGAGCAGAACAGGCAGATCTACTGAAATATGCTGCTCAGGGGAGCAGTGGGCAAAACAGGAGAGGTCTGCTGCGCTTTGTGGGTAGCTCCCTGGCTACCTGGAATCAAACTCTGGCTACAGTGGCTGGTGATAGCTTGATATCGCTGTATAAGGTTCTAACCATATATAAGGTTCTAAATGGAAATAAAATAAATATTGAGCTCTATATGCTGGACCTATTTTTACTATTATCTCTTCCATATATTTTGCTTTTGGTGTCTTATTTTTAAATGTGGCTTCTTTTGTTTTAATATAAGTCCCTTTATTATTTCTGGCAAGTTCAGTTTAGAGGAGATGAGTCTCTCCAACTGTTGTTTGTGAAACTCTTTAGTCCTTCTTTAAATCTGAGTATTGTCCTACCTTGGTAGGGCATATCTATTCCTTTTAGCATGCTGAGTATTCATTTCATTCTCTTATGACCTGTAAGGTTTCTATTGAGAAAGCATCTGATAGTCTTAAGAGTGTTCCCTTATATGTGACTCTTAGTTTTTTTCTAGTGCTATTATAAAAGATTCCTTCTTTAGCTATAGCTTTTTCCATTTTAATTATAATTATAATTCTGTCTGTGACCTCTGTATTCAACATTGTTGGAATTCAATGTTAATAGCTCTATAATACCTCTAAATGTTCAAATGAAAGAAAGAGTTACATTCTCAGTTTAAATCACAAGTTAGAGATCATTAAATTTAGTAAGGAAGGGATGTTGAAAGTTGACACAGCCAAAAGCTAAATCTCTTGCAGTAAATGGCCAACTTGCACATGCAAAGGAATAGTTCTTGAGGAAGTTAATACTGCAACTCCAGTGAACACAAAAATGAGAAGATAAATAGCCTTATTACTAAAATGGAGAAAATTTTAGTAGCCTGGGTAGATCAGACAAGTCATAATATTCCATTAAACCAAAGCTTAATCCAGAACAGTGCCCTAACTCTCTTCAATTCTTTGACTGCTGAAGGAGGTGAAGAAGCTGCAGAAGATAAGTGGGAAGGCTGCAGAGTTTATTTCATGAGATTTAAGGAGTGAAGTAAGTCATCTCTTTAACACCAGACAAATGCAAGGTCAAGCATTAAATATTGATGTAGAAACTACCATGAGTTATCCACAAGAGCTAGTCAAGATAATAGATGTAGGTGGCTCTACTAAACAACAGATTTTCAGTTAGATGAAACAGCTTATATAAAAGATGTTATGTAGGTTTATGATATTTAGAGAGAAGAGCCTGTCTTTTAAGTTAGAAAGAAGGGCTAACTCTTCTGTTAGTGACTAACATAGTTGGTGACTTTAAGACATTACTAATTTATCATTTTGAAAATCCTTGGGCCCTTATTCATGAAACTAAATCTATCCTCCCTGTGCTCTATAAATGGAAAACAAAGCCTGAATGACAGCACATCTTACAACATAGATTGCTGACTCTTTTGAGCCCACTTTTGAAACCTACTGCACAGTTAAAATGATTCCTTTCAAGATACTGTTGCTTATTGATAATGCCCCAGGTTACTCAAGAGTTCCGATGGAGATGCACACAATTAATGTTTTCATGTCTGTTAACATGACATTCTTTCTTAGCCCACGGTTTGTCTTAACTATTTAAGTCTTTCAAGTCTTAACTATTTAAGAAATATGTTTCAAAGGAGTAGCTGCCATAATCATTCTGCTGCTGAACCTGAACAAAGTCAATTGAAAATCTTCCAGGAAGGATTTACCATTCTAGATGCCATTAAGAACATTTGTGATTGGTAGGAGGATGTCAAAGTGTCAACAAAACAAGAATTTGGAAGAAGTTACTCCAACCCTCATGCTTGATTTGAGGATTTCAAGACTTCACTGGAGGAAGTAACTCAGAAGTGTTAGAAATAGCAAGAAGAGTAGAAGTGGGACCTGAAGATGTGACTATTGTTGCACACTCACGATACTTCAACAGATGAGGCATTCCTTCTTATGTATGAGTAAGAGAGTGGTTTCTTGAGATGGAATCTACTGGTAAAAATGATGTGAACATTGTTGAGATGACAACAAAGACTTTATAATATTATATAAACTTAGCTGATAAAGCTGCAACATGGTTTGAGAGAATTGACTGAAATTTTGATAGCAGCTACTGTTGCAACTTATTATTGTTAGAGAGCTGTCAAACAACATGCATAGTATAGAGCAATCTTCTGTGAAATTTAAGTAAATCAATGCAGCAAACTTCATTTTTGTATGATTTTCAGAAATTTCACAGCCACCCCCAGCTTGCCTGTACTACTACAATGATCAAATAAAAGCTATCAGTATTGAGGAAAGATCCTCCTCCAGCAAAGAAAAATTAAAAGTTGCCAAGACTATATGATGCTTAGCATTTTTAGCAATAAAATATTTTTAAGCTAAACTATTTATATGTATTAGACATAAATCTGTTGCACACCTAGTAAGCTAAGAGTATAGTGTAAACATAACTTTTATGTGCATTAAGAAACAAAAAATTTGTGTGACTCATTGTGACATTTGGTTTATTGCAGTGTTCTGGAACTGAACCCCAATATCTCTGAGATATTCCTTCTTAACCAGATACTTCTGTTATTCTGGTATAGAGGCTGGGAATGGGAGGGATGCTAGTACAGAAACATGTATCTCCCCTACATGTTTGCAAATAGTCTATTTATAAATAAACTTTACTCAAATATATTTTACTTTAATATAAATATAAACTTTAATATATTTTCTGCAGGGATGCTGACTCATACATAGTGGCCACAATCTCACAATTTGTCCACTCCAAATTTGTTCAAAACCAGCATTCCTTGCTCATTTTTATCACTATTCATTTCCTAGCATCTATTGTTTCACTCTTTCCTTCTGTCAGTGTATGATTCTTCTTACCTTCATTTTATTTATTTCTTTGATCTTTTCTCTGTATGAATTCTAAACAGAGATTCTAAACTCCATTCACTTATTTCCTCTCTTCATTTGCTTAAATTGCTCCTTCTGTGTGGAATATCTATACTGCAAACCTAGGCAGAGAAGCAAAATTTTACATAGTCTTCAAGGTTCAATTCCTATGTAATTTCTCTGTGAAGCATTAGTGCTTACTAAGAGATCAGGATTTTAGTTCACTGATCCTGAAGTACTTTGTATTTACTTCTATTGAATCTTTATTATAATTTTATAATGTGTGTGTGTGTGTGTGTTTAGGTATACAGTCTGTCTTTAAAACTGAGAGCTTCTTGAAAGGATGACAATATTGTAATCATATTTGTTTTAAACTCAGTGATTACCTTTTTCTTTGTCTAGTGTTAACTTGCTAAAGACATATTAATAGGATATATGGACGAGTGTGAATAATTTATTTCATGAGAATTGCTGAAGCTTTCTGCTGCCATGAAATTTGCTTCTACTTTTAACACCATGAAATTTGTTGTTAAATTATATATCTAGCATTGAGAGTTAGAATACAAAAAATGTTTAACATGAGAATAATCTGCTTTCATTTATACCTCCCTGCTGCTTTACATTATTTCGTATGATATTTGATGTTTAAAAATACATTTACTCATTAAAAATGTAATTGATATATAAAAAATAAAGGAATATATTTTCTTATGGAAATCAAACTTTTTTTAGAGTTTGGTGAAATTATTAAATACTTTGACTTAATTCTAAATCATAATTAAAATTTTTATTGTGTAAGTAAGAAATACCATTATTTATATCTACTATATCATTATATCTACTTTGTATCACATTTTATTTGGAAAGTAATTGATGTTACTTTTTTGTTTCAGCAAAACCATTTACTTCTAAAGTGAAACAAATGCGATTACATAGAGAAGACTTTGAAATACTAAAGGTGATTGGCCGAGGAGCTTTTGGAGAGGTAAGAGAGAAAGATTTTATAGAAGTTCTGCTAATTGTCTTGGAAACTATGTTATACCATCTACGAGAGAATTTAATTGAAGTATTATTTACTTGTAACATATTACTGATCATAAAATTATTAAAGTTTTGAATGAAATATTGATACATAGAAATTTTTTTCCAAGATACTATTTTTTTCACATATCAGTGTAAATACACGTATGCTTCTGGACTCTTCTGTTCCATTCATCTTGTCTCTCCTTGTGTCAGTACCACAGTGTCTTAAATTTGTTTTAAGTTGTCATGATATCTGATTTGTACTCCAACTTCTTCCTTCTCTTCCTCTATTCTTAGTTAGCCCTTTTTATTTTAATATAATTTTAGGATCAAATTTTCAGTTCTTACTCTTAAAAACCTACATTCATACCTGCACATCTTGCCTCTCTTCTGTGGAATGTTGATTATATTTATACTGAAACTACAGATCAATTTGTAGATAATTTATATCTTAATATTTAGTCAGCCAATTCATGAACCTGGCATCTTTTTCCTTTTATTTAGGACTTTAAATTTTTCCCACTAATGTTTTGTAGTTTTCATTCAGAAGAGAGTAACTGCTTCATCTTTTAGCAGATTTATTTCTAGGTATGTGATGCTCTTTATGTTATTTTAATTAGAATAATTTGTTAAATTTCATTTCCTAATTGGTCTTTTTTTGCTAGTAGCTAGAATATAATTGAATTTCATTTATAGCAGCCTTGCTAATTTTATTGTATAATGATGAATTGTGTTGGATTTCATCATATACTTTATCAGCATCTTCTGAGGTGCTAATGTCTTTTCTCCTTTATTCTGTGTTGAATTACAGTGATTTATTTTCAAATACTAACCTAACTTTGAACTTCTAAAAGAAGTCCAACTTTGTTAGGATTTTATGTCTCCTTGGAATAATTTTGCTGTATGTGTATGTGTGTTTTTAGGATCTTTGAGAGAAATTGACCTGAAATTTATTCTACTTCTAATGTCCTCTTTAGATTTTGGTATCTTGATTGTGACTTCATGAAAAGAGGGAGGTATTACTTTTTGTACAGTTCTCTAGAAGAATTAAAGACCATTTAGATTTTCTTTTTATGTGTCAGTTTTGCTCTTCAAATTTTGTCAGTTTGCTAATTTTTCAAATATTACTATATTGATCATTTCTACCTCTTATTTTTTTCACTTGTCGCATTAAAGATTTATCAATTTTGTTATCTTGTCAGTGAATTAACTTTTTGCTTTTTCGCATTTTCACATATGCAGTTATCTGCTAAGGGCTAACGATAAAAATGTTTTAGCTTCTAGTTTACATGTAACATTATTGTCATTATCATTTTGGCAATACCAGCAGTGCAGCCTGGACTCAGCATCAAACCCATTTATATTTTTGTGAGTTGCTTCCATAACTTTATCATTTAGGAATCACAACTTCACGCTTCACGCTTCCATATATGCCCAGACTTCACTCATCTTCCACCAAAATTCCACTGCTGTTATCTTGATCCCTTCCTTCCCTTTCCCCCTTCTCTGAGGTGATCAGTATATTTTTCAAAGAGTTTAAGAATTATTTTTGCTGTGCTTTGTCAGGTTGTTTTCTTTGATTATTTAAATTCCATAAATGAGTGAAACCATCTGATAACTTTCACTTAGCATTATCATCTCAAGAGCTATTTTATTCCAAAAATCACTATTTAATCATTTTTAACAGTTAATAGTATTCCATTGGATATATATATTCCACAATTTCTTTATCCAATCATCAGTCATTGGGCATTTAAGTTGGTCTTATAACTTGACTATTGTAAATGTTGCTGTGAACATAGGCATGCATAAATCTTTTCACTTGAGTTTTCATATTTTTTGGGTGAATATCTAGAAATGGTATTACGGGATTTATGGTATTTCCATTTTTTTCATTTTTAGTAATCTCCATACCATTTTGTGTAGTGGCTGCAAAATATTGCATTTCGACCATTAGAGCATGAGTGTTTCTTTTTTCCCCACATCCTTGCCTTTGGGCAGAGTTGAATAGGTGTCATGAACTTAAATTTTTCACTCTTAAGAATGGTGCTAATTCTAGGGAGTTTGTAAGTATGCCTTATCTGAAGAAATTGTCTTCTCTTACTGTTTGTTAAGAATTCCTTTTATTTAATAATGAATGGGTGCTGACTTTTGTCACAATCTTTTATTGCATATAATCATACAGTGTTGCTCTTTTGTTGATAGGGACAGTTAGAGTATTTATTAGAGCCGTTTTAGTTGAGTCTCATACACAGAATTGAGCAGAAAGTACTTAGTTCCAATGTATTCCATGCCCCTGCGTGTTCAGCCTCCTATTGTCAGTATACATATCAGAGTGATATATTTGTTAAAATCAAAGAATCTGAATCCACACATTAGCACTCAAAGTCGTAGTTTGTATTAGGATTCAATCATCCCTGGTGTTACATACTCTGTGGGTTTGAAATGTATAATGGCATCTATCTACCATTGTTTTATCATAGAGAATACTTTCTCTCCCCTGAAAATTGTCTGTGCTCTGCCTGTTCTTCTTTCCCTCTCCCAGACCTTCATCACCACTCATCTTTTCAATGTCTTCATAGTTTTGCCTTATCCAGAATGTTATTATAGTTGTAATAATACAGTATGTAGTCTTCTCAGATTAGCTTCTTACATGTGGTAATAAACATTTAAGTTTACTCTATGCTTTTCAAGGCTTGATAGCACATTTCTTTTTAGTGCTGACTAATATTCTATTGTCTGAATGTGCCATTGTTTATCCCTTCATCTACTGGGGCACATCTTAGTTGCTTCCATGTTTTGTGAATTGTTTATAAAACTGCTGCAAACATCTATGTACAGGTTCTTGTGTAGACATAAATTTTCAACTCATTTGGATAAGTGAGTGTGATTGTTGGGTTATTTGGTAAGAGTATTTTGTACTTTTGTTAAAAAAAACACTAAACAGTCTTCCAAAGTAGTAGTATCATTTTGCATTCCCACCAGCAATGAAGAGAATTCCTGTTGCTCCATATATTCATCAGCATTTAGTGTTGTTAGTGTTTTGAATTTTGCCATACTAATAGTTATGTATGGATATCTCATGTTTGCTTTAATTTGCAATTCCCTAATGCTATATGATATTGAGCATCTTTTTCTATGCTTATTTGCCATCTTTATGTCTTCTTTGGTGAAGTGTCTATTAAAATCTTTGGTGCATTTTTTAATGGGGTTGATTCTCTTTTTCTTACTGAGTTTTAATCATTATTTGTATATTTTACACAACAGTTTAGCAAGTACTTTCTCCTAGGCTTGTGTTCTCATTCTCTCGGCAGCATCTCACAGAGCAGAAGTTTTAATAAAGTCTACTTTATCAGTGCTTTCCTTCATGGATTATGCATTTGGTTTCATAGAACTCCCTTTTCAAATATTAACCTAATCTCTGAGTTACACTTGTTTTAGTCACGATTTACCATCCTTTTGCTATTTTGCTCCATTCAGTTCTTTAATAGTTTCTTATATTTTCATATCCGTGTCCCCATAAGGTGTGTTGATATATAAATTTTACTTTAAAAAAATAATCTTTGTCAATTTTTTATAATACTTTGGACTTATAAAATGGATTTTAGGAGTATTGCTATTTTTCCTGTGTGTTGGAGTTTTTGTGTGTATTTATTTTTCCCCTGTGTTTGGTAGAATTTACCATTGAAATTATCTGGACTTGGATTGTTATTGTGGGGGATTTAATTGTATTAATTTAATTTCATGATTGTTATAGAATTATTTAGATTTTCTACTTCATCTTGTGTTAGCTTTAGGTTTTCTTTTTTTTCATTGAATTTATTCATTTTGTTTAACTTTTCAAGTATGTAGTTGTTTATAATGTCCTTTTTTAAATAAGATTGGAAGTGCTGGTACATTTTTAACTTATGTTTTATTCTTTTCTTATTCCTGGTCAATTATGTGAGAGGTTTTTCACTGTTATTTTAGAAGAAATTATTGAAGCAATTATGGAACTAAAACTGCTTTGGATTTGTGAATTGTCTATATATTTGTCATCTTTACTTTTTAAATTTATGTTTTCATCTTTGTTATTTCCTCCTTTCTACACTTTTGGATTTAATATGCTCATGTTTTTCTAGTTTCTCAAGATAGAAACTTAGATCTTTGATTCTTTTCCATTGCAATTTAATTTTTAAAGCTATGAATTTCCCTCTAAGCCAGTGTAGTGTATCCCACAGATTTTGATATGATTTCATTTTCATTCATATAGAAATATTATTTCACATCTTTGGTTTCACTTTTGACTGATAATTTAATGTATCATTTAATTTTAGGACTCTTTAAGTTAATGTTATTGTTACTTTTTATTTTTGTTATGGTCAGACATAATACTGTAATTTAATACCTTTGAAGTTTATTCCAATTTGTCTTATAGTCAGATGCCTTTACGAATATTCCATGTACTTGAAAATGATTTTTATTCTACTTTTGTTACTTACAGTGTTTTGTAAATGATGGTTAAGTCAAAATGGTTGATACTGTCATTAAAATGTTGCACAATTTCCTGATTTTTGTTTAGTTTTTTTGAAAGGAGAATATTTAAAACTTCGTTATACAATTGTGAGTATTTGTGTTCCTTTCCCTATTATGGTGTTAATGTTTCTCATGCATTTTGAAATTCTTTTTTTTTTTTTTTTGTATCGAAAAAACAGGTTTATTAGGACAGGGACAGAAAAGTAAAGGACACTTGCATAGACACAAGCAGGCAGGAAAAGCTGCCCCTAAAGGGACAGGTTTGCTGAGAGAGGCCTGCATGGTTGCAGGCGGGTGGCCTTGAGGAGAGCTGCTTCTGCTGAGGGAGGTCAGTGAGGAGAAGTTCCGGCATGGGACAGGTTACGGGCAGGTGGAGAGAGTTGGTGAAAGAAGCACCTGCATAGTCACAGGTGGGCAGAAGGGAGTGCTGTCCATTTTGAAATTCTT